GCGTTGGTGTCGGTGATGGGCACGCCAGCTTTGCTTCCAGAAGACCAGAACGCACACGCACAGTCGCAGACACGCGCGCTGCCACGCAGGAGCATTGACAAATGCTACGTACGTGCCGCGGCGTAAACAAATTATCTAGCCGGTGACTGGAACACACGGTTATACCGGTTCAAACGTTTGCAAATTTCAATGCACGCGCTTGGTGCTTGAACCGGAGCGCCAGTTCAGTACCGCCACTTCGACTGTCTGATGGAGCTATAAAATGGACAGTTAGAGCATCTTCAAGAGTATCATATTTTGTCTTCTTAAAAACACGTTTTTCAACACATAAAAATGTATTAGGAGGAATAAATAAGATCATCTCCAACATTTTGTAATAATCCACTCCTAAAATAAGAATATAATTTTGCATCAGGAATCATATACTATTTCTAAATTATCCTACCACTTTTATAAATTGTTTCTCTCTTATACATTTGCATCGGGAACCTTTTACTATTTTTTATTCTTTCCATGTTCTTCCACCTTTAGATTGGTCAAAAAACACGCGTGGGAAGAGAAGACACGCGCGACTCGGAAGCGTGTAACTTTACACGAAACATGGTGACTTTTTCTAAGTTCTAAAAGATTAGGAGGAGAATTTAAGAGTTGTTGGAGATGTTTTTTTTCTCATCTTGCTAAAAACTAAGGATTATTCAGGGATTTATGGAACTCTTAGAGATGCAGATTAATCACCGTGGGAGTTTCTGTCTATTACTATGCGATCACTCCTCCATCCCGGTAACTTCGCAGCGTCCAGGTGCATCCTCCATCTCTCTGTCTTTTCCTCCTCTCACGTATGTACGTATATAATGGTGCGGACGCCTGAGCCTTGTGTGTACGTCAACAGAACCACCGCACCCTCATGTCTACTCGTTGATCAGAATGACGTTAAAACGATTTTCCTAAACGAAGATTTAGAGGAGGAGGTCTATATAAATCAGCTAGATGGGTTTATAACAAATAGTCAAGAAAGGCATGGTATGTAAACTATGAAAATATTTGTATGGTCTGAAGAAAGCACCTAAGCAATGGCATAAGAGGTTTGATAGAACCTTAATATCTACTAGCTTTGTTGTGAACAAATCTGACAAATATGTACCATTGTTATGGTGGGGTGAAGATGTGATCTTGTGTTTGTATGTTGATGATGTACTAATATTTGGACCTGGTCTTAATGTGATTAAGGAGGTGTAGTACTTCCAACAATTTTGAGACAAAGGATTGAGGAATGGCTGATGTTATTCTTAATATCAGCTGCTAAGAGAAACCAATGGTTATGTTACAATTCTGTAGTCGCGCTATGTGAAAAATGTATCGATTCATTTGGGCTTAGTGACTGCAAGCCTGTTTCAACGTTTTTATGAACCTAGTGTATATTAAAAAAGAACTGAAAAATAGCAAGGGGCCAATTGAGATACTTACGAATCATGATTCACTTATGTATTTAGCTAGCTCTCTAAGGCTTATTAACTGGGCCGGCAGTGACGCAACTGGCGGCGCCGTGGCGATGAAGTGGCCGTCAAGAACGAGGTGCCGCCAACAATCCATCATGTGGGACTAATTTTTTATTTTTTAGTAGTGAGATTTTTGAAAACATTTAGAGGAACCTAACAAATATCACATTTTTTTAGTGACTTGACAAATTAATTAATTTTGTAAACTAATTTTTGTGAACTATTGTAGATGCTCTACTGGCTGAAAAAGAAATAACAAATAATACAAGCAAGCACCATTTCTATTCGAAGACTCAAACCAGGTGAACTAACTCACCGAGTAACCAAACTAAGTACAGGTTTAACTAGTGTTGCAAGGCATTTACAAGCACGTTCCAAAGTAGCTCGAGATAGCTCCTAGATGCGCAATGGCTGCATCTAGTTGCTTCACCTTTGGATCGTGCGGTGGGCAATCCCTTTCAAACCCACTCATGGCCGACGCAAACAACTAGTCGTAGCGGCAACACCACGATTTTACCAAAAACCTTATAAAACCCGGTACCGGTCGTACCTTGCTTCCCAGGTGAGCCAGCCAGCAGCCAGCGCGCGCACCCACCACCGCCAGTCTACCGCCGCCGCGGCCCAGATCCCTCACCGGGAGCGAGCGGCCACCAAAATGAGGAGCGCGGGTGCGGCGGCCACCGTGACGCGCCTGGCGCAGCGGGTGGTGGCCCCGTCGGCGCCCACGCCCCGGGGCCAGCTCCCGCTGTCCTGGCTCGACCGCTACCCGACCCAGCGCGCGCTCATCGAGTCCCTCCACGTCTTCAAGGGCCGAGCTGACCCGGACGCGGAGGCGGAGGCGCCCGCCAGGGCCATTGAGCGCGCGCTGGCCGCCGCGCTGGTGAGCTACTACCCCATCGCCGGGAGGCTGGCGGTCTCGGACGAGGGGGAGCTGGTGGTGGACTGTACCGGCGACGGCGTGTGGTTCATCGAGGCCGCGGCCAGCTGCACCCTGGAGGACGTGGACTACCTCGAGTACCCGCTCATGGTGCCCAAGGACGAGCTCCTTCCGCACCCCAGCTATCCCCCCGAATCTGACCCCCTCCCTGAGGACTCGCTCATCCTCCTTGTCCAGGTACCAAATCCTTCTCCTTCCTAGTGTCCCGTTTGCGTGCGTTCTGGAAGCAATTGGTTGGTTCTTGAGAGAACAGAGAAGTCAACGGCTCGTCGGCCATGGCGTTTGACTGATCGATTGCCGTCCATTCCTGAATTCAGGTGACGCAGTTCGCGTGCGGCGGCTTCGTGGTCGGGTTCCGGTTCAGCCACGCGGTGGCGGACGGGCCCGGCGCGGCGCAGTTCATGACCGCCGTCGGTGACATGGCGCGTGGGCACGCGGCGCCGCTGGTGGCCCCGGCCTGGGGCCGCGAGGCGATCCCGAACCCTCCCTGCGCGGCGGTGGGCCCGCTCCCGGTGCCGACGGAGCTCCGGCTGCAGTACCTCGCCATGGACATCTCGACGGACTACATCGAGCACTTCAAGGCCCGGTTCCTGGAGCAGACGGGCGGCCAGCGGTGCAGCGCGTTTGAGGTGCTCATCGCCAAGGCGTGGCAATCCCGCACCCGCGCGGCGGGCTTCGCGCCCGGCTCCTCCGTGCACGTGTGCTTCGCCATGAACGCGCGCCCGGCGCTGCAGGGGCGCCGCTCGCTCCCGGGCGGGTTCTACGGCAACTGCTACTACATCATGCGCGTGTCGGCGCCGGCCGAGGCCGTGTCGGACGCGTCCGTGTACGACGTGGTGCGGCTCATCCGCGAGGGCAAGAAGCGGCTGCCCGCCGAGTTCGCGCGGTGGAGCGCGGGGGACACCGGCGCCGGCGGGGTCGATCCCTACCGGATCACGTCGGACTACCGGACGCTGCTGGTGTCGGACTGGTCGCGCCTGGGGTTCGCGGAGGTGGACTACGGGTGGGGCTGCCCCGTGCACGTCGTCCCGCTCACCAACCTGGACTACATCGCGACGTGCATCCTGGTCCGGCCCTCCGCGCACAAGCCCGGCGCGCGGCTCATCACGCAGTGCGTCGCCGCCGACGCCGTCGACGCCTTCCACAAGGACATGATGCGCCTCGACTGATCATTATGCCACTACTACTGCTGTAGCACACTTGTTATTCATCCAGTTGCATAATTTAATTCGTTGGTTCGTTGTTGTATCCCATGATTGGGTAGTTGAGTGGGAATAAAAAAAGATGCTACGGTCTACGAGCATCACCATGAACATGTTGCGTGCATGTAATGCGAAGCATTGTTTATTCTTCCTTCTACCGATGGAAATTCGTTGCGCTTTACATTACATGTTGTATATACATGTGATTAAGGAGCATAGAAATGAGCAGGTGGGGAGCCACTTTCCGCTGTCCCCTCTTGCTTAAGCAACTGGGAATGATGCAGTAATAATGGTGCTAGAAAGAGTCCAAGCGATGCACCTGTTGTTTGTCACTGCTTTCATCCTGGGAGGTTGTTGATGTGTGGTGTAACGGACCTGTCCAGGCGTCGCAATCTCGGTTTGTTGAGCTCCGGAAGTGCGTGTAGTTGGCCTACAATGCGTCATGGTTCGAGAACGGACCAGAAAAAGGTTGAGGACCCGGATCGTTGCTTGCTTCACTTGGCATTTTCGGGTTCAGTTACTCGTCAGTGCGTGTGTTCGCTGGTGATCCATTCCAATAGAGATACTAGTGCCTCAGCCATGTTTGTTTCAGATGAGTCTCGGCCTCGCGATCCCTGGGCAATAGCAGGGTCGGACACGGCGGAAGTGTACAAAAATCTGTCGGTGGAGCGCCGCTGTGTCAAAGCGAGGCAGTGGGGTCGTAGGGACGCGTGCGGGATGGCCGTTCGCCTTTCCTCTGCGGTGGTGCCGGAGCCGGACCGGCGCCTGCATCGTCAGGTCGGGTTGACGTTAGCAGGGACACGCGGGCAGCTGGGACTGGGAGAAATGCCTGACTAGTTCCCAGGGCCAGAGGATGCTCTACGCCTCCTAGACACGAACAGTAGTAATGTGAGCAGTGAGCTGGAGCAGCCTGGAGGACTTCAGTTTTGCTGTCGCCTACGTCCGCCTTCAGATAACCGGCCTCAATGACCATAACAACATAGTAAATGACCCCAAAAAAATGGAGTAACCGTAAACAGGCGATTTTCCTCCTACAGAGAGAAAGAGAACCAAACATGGACATCATTTCTAGACATGGAAATCCAAACCGTCGCACAGCACGAAGGTTAGAAATACAGCACAGAACAACAGAAACAAGCTTTTCTTTTCTGCGACCGTGCTTAGCCACGACAGAAAGAACCAGGCTTTGGTTTCAAGTCACGTCAGAACAGAGTACTCGACCCTTCATCCAAATCCTGCTGAAGTGTTGATGAGAAGTCGCTTACCTCATTATTTGCGCCTCGCTGAGATTAACCCCTAGCGTAAACTGTCACAGGCTGCGGAAGTTCCGTTGAGGATTTCCGGAGCGATGTGGGCCAGAGACGATCAACTACTTGCTAGTGCGGCTTCCAACTTCCAAGCCATGGCTCCCTGGCTCCTCTCAGTGAGGTCGGCTTGGGCACAACCACGTCGGGCTCCACAACAAACCTGGTCCCCTGCCGGATGTCTTGCCACTGAGGGCTGGGACTGCCAGCCAGGCTGCACGGATAGAGCTTCAGCATGGTGATTCCAGGGCCACTGCACGGTCATGGCATGTTCCTGAGCCAGAGTGTAAGCCTGGGACAAGGGGCATGGCAACACAGGCTGCTGCTGCCTTGCATTATACCGGCGACCACTCAAGCTTGGATCCCATTCTGGTAAGTCGTCATGGCTGCGATCCCAGGGCTGGGCTGAATCATACATTCCTCCAAACTTGCGAACCAGTTGACTGACTAGGTCCATTGGGGGAGAAGGAGCCTGCCCATGCTGCTGCCTCCCGTAGGAATATGGCATAGCTTCATTTGGGGACAGGGATCTGCTTGAGATGCTAGCACGGTCATATACAGGAAGGTCATTGTCATCCTTGACGACGCCTTGGCCAAAGCCCAGAGGAACATCGTAGGTAGCATCATACTCAAGGCAATGATGCTCATTGGGGTGGACAAATTGGGAGGCAGGTCTGGTAAGCTGGGAAGACATGGGCACGGAAGTCGTAGCAATCACAGCCTGCTGCTTCCTTGAGATGGGCATAGACGACTGCACCGTGGAACCCTCACGCCTTGTGGGTGTTTGGGTACAAACACGGTGCCTCTGCCACACAAAGACACCAATAACAGGTACTCCTCCGGTCACAGTTGGGATGCCCGAGTGCTCCTTTGGCAGGTGATCTGTGAGAACCTGAGCTGTCTTCCCTTGAGAAGGGCATACGTAGAGATCCACCCCTTCGGCAGGCTTTACGAGTCCTACTCTCTCATCTGCAATATATGAGTCAATTGTCTGCAGGAATGTAAGTTGTTGTTAGTGTTGAGCTGGACTGCTGGACCCATATAAAGTGGTAACAGATGATAATAATTGAGAACAGGGACCTGCATGAATTGCTGCCGACCACTTTCATGAGAACCCTCCTTCCAACGCAACTCAGTTACCTGCAGAACAAATGATAGTAAAAGGAAAGAACACATTCTGAAGAGCTAGACCAAAGAAAAGGCTACAGGACAATTTTGGTAACCAAGTTAGCATATATATGTAACTTCTAGAATTTTATATTTTTATTCAAGGTGTAAATGAAATTTGATTGCAAACGGTTGCATTAAACATGAAAATAATATACGTAAATCGATATTAAAGTATAAATGGTACGAGTTCAGGCACGAGAAAGTTCTGATTTTTTATTAACATAAAAGTGAAAATTCCACATGTAAAAACCAAAAGAAAAAAAATCAAAATCAAGCCAATACAGTGCAACACGTAAGATTAGATAGTGCCGTGACAGTCCAAACACTGAGACTAAACGTACATATTCTTACCAATGCCTTCCATTTTATTTTTGTTTTATTTACTTATTTTCCAGATAACTCTACATTACCAAATAGTGATAAATGAATGATAAAAGCATATAAAGGTCCACTCTAAGTTCCGAATGTATGAACATTTATTATCAGCTTCGTTGTCAAAAGCATTTGGTTTTACGATAAAAAAGAATAGCAGTTCAAGAAATTCCAGTGCCACAACCTAACTCTAAATAGTATTACTACAAAATAGTATTAAACTAACTCTAACAAGGGCCAACCAGGTCTAACAGACTTATATGTACTCCTTTTGGGAAGCATGCCTATCGAGGTTTTGGTCTTTTGCTCCAGACTCCAGACAAACAATTTGCATGTGCACATCTATCTGTTCAATTTGGAGCATGGTTGCTTGGTTCTTCTTTGTTTCTAGATTGAATTTCAAGGAATTGATTTCTGCCATAATTACCAATTAAACATAGAGCCCACAGACAGTAGGTGGTCCTGAATTCTAAACTAGGCGAGAAAAGTATAGCTGCAATGCAAAAAATGCTTATTGTAATACTCCCACTGTTTTTAAATATGTGAAGTTTAGGACAAGCTAATTAGTTTAAAATTAACTAATTAGCTTGTCCTAAACATAGTATATTTAAAAATGGAGGTAACCAGGTAGTTGCTGAATTTAATATTAGATGATCCAGGGTAAGTCATTACCGCTTCTGTTCATTCCAATTTGTTATTTGTAAGAACTTATATATGTGCTGTTCTGCACGGTATTTGCTGTGCATAGCAAGGTTGAGCAAACTCTCTTCAGGAGAAACATGTTAAAGCACATTCTGTGGTGTTGAAGATGTGTGTGTGTGTGGGGCGCAAAACAATGCAACAGATACAGGATAAACAGAAAACAGCACATGCATTAACATAATAACATGAATTTGGTGTGAAGACTGAAAGAAAAAAGGTATTCCAATTTCCAACATGCAACACATGTTGATCAGAACTGGATAAAGTACGGTAACATCCAATCATCCAGTTTATGGATTCCCAGGTTGTGAGTGAACTCACTGATTTCAATGAACATACACTTGAACCTAAGCACAAATTGACAGGCAGGGTGAATATGCATTCAGCACCTATTAAAGGTTGCAAAAAAAACTGCTTCAAGGCAACTACTACAACTACAAGAAAGAATATATTTCAAAACCAACAAGGATGTAGGCCAACTGATAAATACTAATTTTAGTAAAAACCAAAATCACCATTTGAGATATATGAAACTAAGCACAAAAATAAGTTACCGTTACAGCACGGCTCCTGGATTTAGGCAGTTGTTCAAGGAAGTCTTGAAAAGCAGTAAGACTCACTCTTCCCTTGATCTCAACAAAGCGGCACCACTCATTTGTTGATGGCTTTTCACCACTGCAAAATAGAAACATTACAGGGAGTTAGGATATGATAACAGAATGTTAAGATGTGTGTTAGGACAAGCATTTTTAGAAAATGGAATGTGGCATACAAGCTTATATATAAAAGTGGGATTAATCTGAGTTATAAATCATAATGTTCTTTTGTTTGGCTAAAATATGGGAGCTATATTGTTTTAGTTAATCACCTACATTAATTACAAACAACATAGGAAAAACAAACCTTTTGAAGATAGCTACAACATTTATACGTGAAGACAAATTTAACTGAATTGTTCCCTCCCATAAAGAAATTGCCTTTGACTGCATAGCACATCCAGTATCAGGTATTTCAGCATCCATCTTTTCAGGGGAAGATTTGATTAACAAACCTCCCTTTGGTTGTTTTGCCGGACTCAAGATGCGAATTGATCCATTTTTGGGTGATCTTATGCGGACCTGACAATTATCTTGTGGTGATGGTGCAACATATGTGCATCCGAACTCTGATGGAGCAGCATTATCCTCCCCTATATGATTTTTCTCTGGCTTCAACGTGTGGAAAGATCTATCAGTAAAATTAGGATCATCTTGTGCAGTTTCAGTGGAATGGCATTCCAAGGGTATATCAGAATCAGGGGCCTCCACGAAATCATCCAGACACACAATTTCTGGAAGATTCTCTGTATACTTCATGTCATGCACTTTTTTCCTGAATGAAAGCAGTCTTCTTGTTTGCTACGCATTCTAAATTACTCAAGAGACTACTGTTGCCAATCCCAGCAAATCCATATTGCACAGTGTTATCAGGTTCCATGTCTCCCGTGTGTACACTTACTCCATCATCACATTTGATTCGACCTTCAATAGATTTTGATGGAATATGAGAAAGCAAATCACCTCTGAGCTCATCGTCGACTGAAATGCTATCAGTCTCCTCCACTTCAAGATGAAATTCACCTTTATGTGTTTTCCTCACCAATCGTTGAATGTTCACTTCTCTATTAGGACGAACAACCATCTTACCAAGCTCTTCAGCTTTAGCCAGCCGCCAAGCCGAAAGCTCCTTTGAAGCAAGTTCTTCAGTAATCATTGAACATAGACATTTGGGTGTAATCTCACCAGATAAGACCCGTCCCCTCAGCACAGGATTACTTTTATCTTTCAAATTAAACAAAAGTGATCTGCCTTTTTCCTTGTATTTCTTACTCACCCCTCCACATAGTTTGAACAGATCCTCTTCAATTCTAAGTGCCAAAGATTGCCCCTTTAGAACTATACCCTTCTGTTCCCATGTTACACCATCTGAAGTCTTTGTTCTTTTATACTCAGGCTCATTCAGAAGTACAGTAGCCCCATCATCAGTATCAGAAGTTGTGGCTCTCTTTGAATTAAGCGGTGAAATGGATTCAGAAGCTCCAACGACAATGTCAGGAGCACAGAGAGGCCCATGGCGTTGCAAAAATTCATCTGAAGCAACAGTGCTGTTACCCGATACATCATTTTCCAAACAAACATGTATTGATTGTTCCTGTGCATCTTCACTCACTTTGATGGCCATGTTTGATCCCAAAATTCCACCGCTTAACGTATCATGTTGTTCGTTTATGCTACCAACAGATTTGGGGCCAGTACCAGTATGAGCTTTACCTTCATTCAGGGTTATGCATGTGCTTGGTTTCTGCAATGTACCACCGTCTGCATGCTTTGTCTCACAGGCAGATCTAAAAGTTGAAATATTTCCAGCAGATTTCTGCACAATCTGCTGATCAGAATCCACACACAAGGCAGCACCTAGATTCTCCCTGAACTTTGATCTCACGGTCTCAGAGTCAGACAACTGTGGATGTGCTTTCAATAGAGGCCCCTTTTGCACAAAACCCTTGCAAGCAGGTGGTACCTGGGATGGGACTGGCTTCAACATCTGAACCTTGGGCGATGCTGCCACCTTCTTTCTCATAACAGACGGAGCTGGTGATGCAAGAATCACTGGCAAAGTCGGCTGGACACTCAGCACCTGCTGCGGCGGCCTCAAGGACACCCTACTCACAGGCCTCGCCCCAGGATGGTGCGACGCGTTGGGACTAGACGCACCAACCTGCGCCGGCTGCCCACCCATGGGCACGATCAGGTAGGCGCTGGTTGGCACTTGCACCCCCCAGTTGCCAGGGCCAACCATGGCGTGGTTCGCGGGCTGCTTGGAATTGAGGGCCGCCGATGGCAACGGTCGCGAAGCCGGCCCGCTGCCCCGCGCCTGCTTCGAGAGCTCCATCGCGCCGCAACAAACGCCTTCCCGAAACGCGCTAAAACGATATCAATCCACGGTTATAGTAAAGATTATTTTTTTTGTTTTATCAGCATTTTTCGGGCGAGAAATGCACTGCGCAACCGAAGTGAAATGCGGATTTCGAGAGGGTTCGGGCGGAGGACGGAAGCGTGGCGCTCACCTCAAGATGATGGCGGAGGGGCGGGATGCTGCGACGGCGACGAGTGCGCCCAGCGAAGGCCGGACGGCGGCGGACGGGAATGTAGGGTTTGGAATTTGGGGGTTCGAACACCTCCTCCCCCGTTTCTATCCGGCGCGGAAGCAAGGTAGGAGGAACCTCCCAGTCCTCGACGCCGCACGCAGAGTGCGTGACTGCTGAGGCCGAGTGCAGGGTGGGATTGGGCCTAGAAGGCCCAAAATTAGAACCACGTTTTGCAGGTTGAGAAATTAGCTATTTCCTGAAGTGGTTATGTAAGAAAAAAATATTCCCCTCAAAAAAAATATATAATCACGTTCCAAAAAAACATAATCATTTTTCGATCTACTGATTTTTCTGAAATGCTTTTTAGCAGCTCAAAAAGTCTCTTTATATCCTTCTAGGTTTCTTTTTTGTTTTATTACCATAACAAAGTCCACTGGTAATGTTGATTGAATTCTACACTGCTACTCGGTCCAGTGTATAAGGGGCAATCACACATATGAAGATTCATACTTTACAATCTCTAACTTAGAAGTATTTTTTAACTCTTACAATGCAAAGTTAATATAATTAAATTTATAATCCAACATACTATCCATAATCATAAAAAATACTCCTTCTGTCAGTCTATCCTGTAATATAGTGTATTCTAGCATTTAAAATTTGTCCTCTAATATAATGCGTTCTAAAGGACAAAAAGTAGTTTTGAATTAAATATTTTTTATTTATCAACCAATCAACCAATCACCATTAATCACGTCGATAATAGCATTTGGTTAGGAAATAAAATAAGGGTACATGCGCCTTTTATGTTCTCTCTTAATTTATCTTAAAATTTCTAGAATGTACTATATTACAGCCTTATAGGACAGAGGGAGTATAATATAAACAAATAAATGGTCAAAGTCAATTTATGAAATTGTGCCATGCCAAATTGCACCTTATAAATTAGATCACAGGGAGTAGTTCTTTTCATACATGTTCTATTTGCATTGAAGTCTTATTTATTTTTTACTATATCTTATGGTAGATAGGTTGTTACAGTATAAATCTATAGGATCAACACTGCATTTTTAACCCTTAAATAAAAATGAAGAGATGATTATTTGTAAACTTTATTTAGCAACACACTATTTTTTATTTAGGTGCCTTTTCCAACATATAGAAATCAAAACTATTTTTTACATAAACTTTAATTTAAGATTAGCAATTTAATAATTATAATGTATATGAACTCTTTATTTAGGTATTTTTAAATTCACTTGTAGATCAAACTATTAACATTTCATAGTTTTTCATTCAAAATTTGTTTTTACTAGTATAATTTTGTTTTACATGGACTCTTTATTTAGGCATATTTTTGAACTCGTATGTAAATCAAATTGCTTTTATTAGTTTGAATTTAATATTTATTGATTATATTAGGTATGTATCATTTGTTTAATATAAGTTATTAGATCATCATATATAGAATTCAATGTTGTAGGTTACTTTCTAATAATCTCTTAACTATAAGGACCGCTTTTAAAGTTACTGTACTAAGATATAATAGATACTCCCTCCGTCCACGAAAGAATGCAATTCTCGCTTTTCGAGGAGTCAAACCGTTTGTACTTTGACCAAAATTATATAAAAAAGTATTAACATTGATAATACAGAATTAGTATTATTAGATTAGTGATAGAATATATTTTTATAGTAAATTTATTTGGAGATATAAATGATAATAATATTTACTATAAACTTAGTCAAACTTGAGCAAACTTAACCGCCACGGATCCCATAATTGCATTCTTGATTCTTTTGTGGACAGGGGGAGTATGTTCCATAGTGATACTCATTTGATATGGTAAAATATTAATATATTTATGATAATTTAAATTAACTTATGCAATTTGATTTACCACAAATTTAGTTATACTTGTATATTTTACGATGGAGGGTCGTCTTCCAAAGCAGTGGTGGACCTTGTCTAAAAACGGAGGATGATAAAGGAGCTTGATGGAACGCTGGTTCTAGCTGCTTCATCTCATCCCCAAAACCATCATTGTAGGTCGCAGCCATAGGGGTTGAGGTTCTCGGCACAACCACAGGCAGGAGCAGGGATGTCGGTCGCCGCCGCGGCTGCCATGCGAAGGGCACGCGCACCGCTATGCGCTGGGGTATGCAAGGGCAGAGCTAGAGAATTATGGAGGGGGTGCGGCCTTGCGGTCTAATGACAGAGCAATAATGTAACTTAATAGTACCATAGCCATTATTTTAGCATAAATAATTTAAAACAAATAATATTGATGTACATCAACAATGAAGCAGTGCGGTAATAGTAAGGTTTGTGCTTACCATTTATTTACCAAAATATAGTAAGAGGATCCCACAAATCATAACAACAAAAGATTGTCGGCATTGGCAAAATGCAATCATCAACCACAAAATCCTAACTGACCTAAATAAAAAGAAATAAACCGATTATTGTAAGCAAACAATTTACATAATGTATGATTGAAAAAAAATGAAAAGAGATACATTGCCTCTTATAGATCAAATCTACGTCATTTTCCTTCCATGTTCATGAAGCGATGAACCACAACATCATTTGTAACTTAATTTAATTCTTCTTTCTCCACATAGACAATAAGTCTATTTAATCTCCTCTTCCCAATTCCCAATTAATGGACATGAATTCCTTGCATTACCACTGCCTGGGCCTTGTTTAGATCACTCCAAAATTCCAAGTTTTTTCACTCTCTCTCCATCACATCAATTTTTAGCCGCTTGCATGGAGCATTAAATGTAGGTAAAAAAAATAACTAATTGCATAGTTTAGTTGGAAATCACGAGATGAATCTTTTGAACTTAGTTGGTCTACGATTGGACAATATTTACCAAATAAGACGAAAGTGCTACTATTCATCGGGTTGAAATTATCTTCAATCTAAACAAGGCCCTGGTGCTTTTCTTTTATAGAGTCTTTCCATGTATTCCTAGCACCCACAAAAATATTTAATAAATATCACAGAAAAGAACAAAAAAACCTAACCCTAAAATCTGGAAACACTAACAAGAATTACAAATTAAATTCATTGGATGATCAGACATTTAGACTGACGGAAATTGAAAAAAGAACGATGAAGTTCCTTACTTGACTGCACCTGCACAGCTGCCTGTTACCGTGCTGCCTACGCTGGTGCGCCCAGCACCCACCAGCAGCAACGCCGCCTGCCGTAGCCGTCGATCTGCTAGCCGACAAGAGCACGATGCCTTCCCTAGTTCCCTGATTGATTGTGCGTGGAGGGGAGCTGCGAGGCTGGAAGACGAATCGACGAGCAGAACGAGAAAGAGAGAAGGCCGCGGGAGCAGAAGAGGCGAAGCGTGCAGTCGAAGAGTCGGATGGCCGCGGACACGGAAAGCTGCGTACGTGAGATTGTGCCTTGTGGGCTGTCTCCTGCAATCCAGTTGGGAATCGTGGGCTGTGGTAGGCTCTCCGCGCTGGGCTGTGGGTGCAGCTGCTTGGCCAGGGGTGCCTATAGGCCAAAAATATATGTACTACTAGATATATGCATGTTCCCCTAAAAAAACTATATATATACCCGTGTGTTACACGGAGCTACGATTTTTGTCCACGTCTACTGTGAAGGATTTGATCGTTTTAGAAAGTAATAAAAGAATTATGAAAAGATTTTACATTGGCCACCTAAACTATTTTCAAATGCACTTAGCCTTTTTTTATAACTAGAAGAACACCCCGCGCGTTGCTGCAGGAATTACTGATTTGGAATAAAATTTAACTATTCATATAATTCTTAGGAAGAGATTAACTATCATAAACTAATGTTATTGGATAGCGTGGCACGTTGATGTGGACAACTAAATGTATGTTAGTGGATGATGTGTCTCGCTGACGTGGATATCATAACTGCTTGTGCTAGTGAACTTTAATTGCAAGTGATAGTGGACCGCTGAGGTGGACACCTTACATGCAAGTGATAGTAGGCTGCTGAGGTGGACACCTTGCATGTCAAGAAAATTTGCTAGTAGGGTTTTGCTTTTATAAGAGCATACGATATTCAAAATAATCAACGTCCATGCCAATTCTTTTGTTCTAGAGCAAGTACGGCCCTGACATCGAGCCTCTTCCGGTCTGCACAAGCATACTTGTATTGGTAACTTTGGAGTTAACAATTTTCAGGTTTTTCAGACTGATTTTTTAGCAGATTGTCTATGTGTTGTACATGCTCTTATATAAATTTTTGGGTCAATTTTTGAGTTTGAATTTGATTTTATAAGTTTGGGTCAATTTGTGCATTGTTTGGGAAAAGACAAGAAGCTAACAAAACACTTTGTATTGGGAACCCTGAAGTCTATGTAAATTTAAGATCAGCTTTTGGTATTCATTTGTTGTTTATATTTATTTGTATTTTTCACCTGGAGTCCTCCACTTTTTCCTATTGTTGCCATCAGCTCCTTTCTGAATTAGATCACGAACTCAGAGACTCGCCGTCGTGCCCCTGGATGACCACGTCGCTCCTGCACACTGCTTCCATGGCCGCGGTATCTTCCTTTCTGCGACAACGACTGCTGCACTTACCGTCATCTCTACCGTCGCTCAGGTTCTTGGTGCTGGATTGATGCATGCATGCAGCAGCGTTGCAACCCTCCACCATGCACCAAGTGCCGTAATGGTAGCAGCGCAGGCCGCCGGCGTAGCTGTCCGCGATGGCGCGGCGTAGACACTAGTGGAGGGACGGGCTTTACTCCCGGTGGAGAACCCCTCTAGTCCCGGTTCCCCACCCGGGAGTAAGCATCCGGG